ATCGGCTTTTTGCCAAATGGGTAAATTTGGTCGAGTCACCCATCTACTGGAACAAACAAAATTTGTAGTATTTATGTGTTTGTTGTCTTACTTATGCATCGTGCCAACACATGGGCTTAGAGGGCGACCAGGTTGTGTTTCATCCGTTGTCGTAGCAAGAAGTCAGCATGCGACAATGTATTAGGCCGTACTTCAGTGACTTTCCAAACCTTCGAAACAATAATGTAAATGTAACGTTAAAAATCGACTGCGAAAGATAGGTTTCGCTGAATGTTATTCCGACTGCAAGCTGGTTGTTTCATGTTTGAACTTCTTTTGTCTTAGTATATTCATGTAGTCCAAAGTATCTCGATTTTTTTGTAAAGTTTCACGATGAGTTGACCGAAATCTATTCGTGAGGAAATCAATCATACTATTCACGAAACAATTATCAAGATAGCGGAGCTTCACCTCAGGCTTTTCTCTACTCAAAGAGTCAGAGCGCGCCTTCTACAAAAATTCGGAAAGGGCACGAACAGACTACCAGTTACCCCTCTAGTAAGGTGGTAATACGCTTCGTTCCTATCGTTTGGGTGCACAAAAACGACTACCCTTGAACCCAGGGGGAACGTCACGCCCACGTCGCGTCGACAACCGGGCTACGTCCTCGCCTCCACGTGCACGACCCCACCATGGCCAAATTGGTCACAGACCTACATTCCTCCGGTCTAGGTATAGCGCGTAGCCCATGCGAGTCACTGGTCACAGAACTTCACCTAAGATCGTCAATGACCTTCGGTCACTTCCCTCGCCTCTCGCCGCACCACCCCTGCTTGAAATCCTTCCACAATCGCAGAGAAATGCTCTCCGCAGACCCATTCTCAGCAGTTATAAACCTTTTTCTTACTCAATATCAAGCCACACTTATTGTTTTTACTTCGGCTGTGAGTGTTTGTGTGTGCTTAGGATGAGTTTAGCTTGTCCTCGCTGTATCGCCGACCCGGAAACCTGTCCGCCCCTCGCAGCAACGAGCCTCGCAACGTCCCGACCAATCAGGGCACACTGGGCTCACAGAGAGGGGGGGGGCAGGAGCTCCAACAAGCCGCTTAGGACAGAGAGTGAATACCTGGTGAATACACATACTATACAGAGATGCTGTATGAGAAACCAATGTGAGTTTGGAAAATTGCACAGTATAAATCTATTCTAGTAGACCTCAACAATGGAATTATGATCAGTAGAAATGGCCATGACATGGGACCTTTAAGATTTCCACAATGCTCACTATGAAACACGGTTTTCTCACAACTTCAGTTCAAATGCTCGAAATGGCCCAAAACTTCACAGGTTTGCTAACGATATAGCCATCAACGCATCTCAGCGTATTATGGGGTGTCATCAAATGTCGTTGCCATGGCGACAGATCATTCGCCATCAGTTAGTTCAAAAGTTTGCAGTTCAAACATTCTGCTGCTTTTCCAAGCCTTTTTACTTTATTTTCTTCTCTCATCACACATTCAAGCCCCCAGTGTTCATGTATCATTTCAATCTAAATTCTTCACTTTCTTCTTACACATTACATTTCAGCATAGCAATTCAGCATCAGCTTTTCAGCATAAAGCATTCCCACTAGCAATTTACTCAGGAATTCCATTCTCTAGTTCAAAACCTTATTCCTGTTATAATGTGACTTTTTTTCTAAAAATATTAAGAAACTAAGACTTAAGTCTATTCTTGTTGAATCAAGACTTTATTTGTGGAATATAAAACGTTTTCCCTAAAATATTATTGCTTTATTTTCAATACATTAAAACTTTATTATCGATACCTAATGACTTTATTATTATAAAATGATGATTTAACCCTAAAAAATGACTACTTCTCAGAGAAAAGAGATGTGTCTATCTACAGGAGGATTAATATTTTATATAATCTTTAAACGTTAATAACAACATCTCCAGTGGTGAGGCAATTACTGAAAATGTTTTCTGCAAATTTTTATTCACTCACAGCTTCTTCTGCATTCCGTTTGTTGGCCTTCATCTTGTTCTGCAGTTTGTCCACCAAGTCCTGCAGTCGAGTGTTGTTTTTCTTGTCTTCCTCACACTGAAACAAGTACAGGTATATTTTTACAACATTAATATGGAGGTGAAATGCTTCAATAAAAGATAAGGAGAAACAGAGTTTCTGTACCTGATAGCTCATCTCTTTGACTTTCCTCTCGTATTTACGGACCCCCTGCACGGCCTCCGTCAAACGTTTCTGCTCAGCTTCCAGCTCGCTCTCCAGCTCACGGACCTGGACAGCAAGAGATTCAATGATTTTCAAGGGTTTTATTTAGACTTCTGTCTAGGGACTTTAGTTGAAACCTTTATGGCCAACTACACAGAAACATACAGTATTCTTGATGGATTGTTCTTAGTCACACTGCAATAAATCTAATATTTAAATTACTTTGACAGGGTTTTCATTTTTGCATAAAAGCACAATTTGTCCTTGAAGAGAGACTGGATATTCTCTGATCTACCATCATGTCAATTCTGGTGCAGATTACAAACCTTACAACCTTTTTTTATTATTATTATTATTATTATTATTATTTCTATGAATCTCTAATGTGGAAGCAGAAACATGAGACATACCCTTGCTTCCAGTTTCTGAAGCTGTTTCTTCCCGCCTTTCATGGCCAGGTTCTCCGCCTCGTCTAAGCGCTGCTGCAGATCCTTCACCGTCCCCTCCAGGTTCTTCTTCATCCTCTCCAGGTGAGCGCTGGTGTCCTGCTCCTTCCTCAGCTCCTCCGCCATCATGTTCGCCTACAGGTGCCCGAATAAGAGCAAAGCATTTATTCAGCAAAGGCTCTTTATTTGCTGTATTATAAATACACAAACATAACACAGATAGCAAATTATATATCGTACAGGAAGAGACAGAAAACCCACTGATTTATTTAAAGCTCCACCTATAATGTAATTAAATAAAGGTATTAAAATGGCACGTCTTACAGAGAACTCAATAAAAATATAGGAAAAATAGTAATGAAAGTAATAGTAATGATGGCAAATTATTAGACCGAAACATAAGAAGAAAAAAATCAATAGAAACATTGTAGAAAAAACAGAAAAGTGTGTATCAGCAGATAAGGGAAATAGCTAACTGAACAGCAGTTAAAAGCACTTTTTGTTAACCTTTTTTGTCAGGCGGGACTTTTTCTTAAATCTAATGGTAATCAACCTCTGCAAGTCAGACATTTAACTAGAACAAAATCTAAGAATTTGCTTTAAAGCATGTTTTGAACTGTTCATACAAATGTCCTCCACATGAAAGTATCCTAAGAATGAAAACAAACATTTGAGAAATGTTCATGAGCTAAATAGTGAGTGTCTGAATGCACTCACATCAGTGATGGCTTTCTTGGTCTTCTCCTCTGCGTTCCTCGCCTCCTGAGCGGCTTCCTCTATCTCTCCGTGAAACTGCGTTATATCCGCCTCCAGCTTCTTCTTGGTGTTAAGAAGACTGGTGTTCTGCAAAAGATAAAAAGAGATTTAAATCCAGCAGGATCAAAGGTTTTATTCGACCAGTGTGATTCCTGGATATAAAAAGGGGTTTATTCCATTATGTTTGATAAACCACCTACCTGAGTGTGTAGCAGTCCTGCGCGCTCGCTGGCGTCCACCAGCTCCTGCTCAGATATTTTGCGGCTCCGCTCCATTTGATCCATGAGCGCTCGGAGCTCCTCCACCTCGGCCTGCATCAGGGCCGTCCTGCGCTCCATCATGCCCACTTGCTCCTTCATGTCGTCCTGCCCTCTGATGGAATCATCCAGGTGGATCTGGGCGTCCTAGAAATGTGTTTAGATTAGATTTACACGCCTAAGCGATTGTCTAAACCGGACCTGTTTTTTGCTTTATATCTTGCTGTACCTTGAGTTGCCCCTGGACGTTCCTCAGCTGTTTCTGTGACTCGGTTGCCTGCCTGTTAGAATGACTCAGCTGGAATTCCATCTCGTTCAGGTCCCCCTCCATCTTCTTCTTCACCCTCAGCGCGTCGTTCCTGCTCCGCACCTCGGCGTCCAGAGTGGTCTGCATGGACTCCATCAGTCTCTGGCTATTCCTCCTCTGCTGGTCCATGTCCTCGTCTTTCTCCGCCACCTTCCTGTCCACCTCAGCCTTCACTTGGTGCAGCTCCATCTGCGCACGCAGGATCTTTGACTCGTCTTGCTCCAGGGAGGCCTTTGAAAACAATATCAGTTGGTTCTTACACGGGGCTGGGGGAAGTATTTTACTCTTTTATATACCGTTGGTCAGTTGGATCTACGGAAATGTATCTTATTCTATAACATTGTCATACGTTTGTAGCTTTGACGCTAGCCCTGTTTTCAGCTTTGTGACGATTCATTACCCAGCTGATCCAAGAGATTTTAATTAGTTTAAAATCATTTTCAACACTTCGGTTTATCATAAAATATTCAAAATCATCTGGAGTTACTTGGTTTTCACAGGACATGAAGAGGATAAGAAATGTCAATCTGTAAAGTCAGAAAATAAAGTTTTATATTTTTTTCAAAGTATTATATATATCTTTAAGATGAAGTGAAATCTAGGTAATGAGATGAATTGAATATAATAAAATACAAATATTTCCAATATTTGAAGGAAAACCAGGAAATGTTTACATTTGAGAAGTTGGAACCATTCAAGAATTCAAAGATGATCAAAAATGTGCAAAAATCTTAATTTGTGAAGTAAATAAAACTGACAGACATATGTGTAAAAGTACAATATTTAACTAAGGAATGTAGTTGAGTATAAGAAGAAAGTGACAAGGACGTTAAAATTCTAAGTAGAAAAACTTCACCAATGCTTGAGACGTATTTAATCTTTGTGATCATTTATACCTCAGCTTCATCCAGAGAAGTCTGCATGTCATAGTTTTCCGTCTCCACCTGCTTCTTGAACTTCTCCAACTCGTGGACCGTCTTCCCGCTCTGCCCTATTTGCTCCGTGAAGTCAGAGATCTCCTCTGTGATCAAAACAGAATTAAAGATTTTAAAATGTTCCTAACAACATAAGCTTTTCTCACAGTGAGACTTGACTCACGTTGCAGGTTTTTATTCTCCCTCT